GAATCATAGATTCGGAGCTAGAAGGAATCTTACCTTAGAGCCATCTAATCAATCCAACCCCTTGATTTGATTGACAAGAAAAATGAAACTTAGGGATTAGATAACTTATTCAGGTTCACAATGGTAGCTGACAGCAGACCCTGTCCCTTAATTTCAAATTCAGCATTGTTTCCATTGCACCAAACTGCTGATACATGACTGTGAGCTATCGCTACATTACTGGGTTCCACATTCAGCTTTTTCCATCCGTTTTGTACACAGGATGAAATCCTTTCACTCTGATATAGAACTGTTCACTCTAAGTAAGAAAACCTCTATCTCCTGCCTAGAGTACTACTGTCAAATGTATTTATGTATTTAAATGTATTTAAATATCTCAAAGAAGGAATTCATGGGCCATAATTCCAGAAACTAAGAATAGTACACTTACATTCTAGAATCTGACTAATCAAACTAATTTAATTACTTTTGCAACTCATAGCTTTGAGGTAATTGTCTTCCTTAGGCATTGTGTAAAATCTGCTAGAATATTGTTACTAATTCCATGAATCGCCAAAGGCACAGAGGTAAAAACAAAACAAAACAAAACAAAAAAAAATTGACTCATGGTCAACTTCTGTTTGGAACTTCTTTTATATTTGAAAGCTCTTTAGCACTCTGAGTGATGCTGGCAAAGAACTTCGAGTCTCTTCTTTTGGGGTTTGATCATAGTTTTAGTATTTTTATTTTGGTTTCTGCCCAGAAGAAAATACAATGGATTTGTGGGTTGAGTTTTTTTCTTAATTATAAACAAATGAATAAGAATCACAGAATTTTCGAGTCGGAAGGGGTAATAAAGGCTAGCTCAATCTATAAATGAAAGATTTCTCACTATAATAATCAATCAATAAACATTTACTAAGCACCTCCTATGTGCCAGGCACCGTGCTAAGCACTGGGGATACAAAAAGAGGCAAAAGGTAGTCTCGGCCCTCAAGGAGCTTACAATCTAATTGGGGAGACAACATGCAAACAAATCTATACAAATCAAGCTACATTCAGGATAATGAGGAAGTAATTAGTAGAGGGAGTAACAACCTAATACATGATTGTCAAGTCTCTGCTACAAGACCTCTAACCCAAGGGAATTCTCTATTTCTTTGGCTACCCCTAATAGTAAGGAAGTTTATCTTGACATCAAGTCTAAATTCCTGTTTTTTGCAACTTCTACCCAACATTCCTGATTCTACTTTCTGGAGTCAAACAGAGCAAGTCTTAGGGTAGCTAGTGGATAGGGCACCGGCCCTGGAGTCAGGAGGACCTGAGTTCAAATCTGGCCTCAGACACTTGACACTTACTAGCTGTGTGCCCCTGGGCAAGTCACTTAACCCCACTGCCTAGTCAAAAACAAACAAACAGAGTAAGTCTAATCCCTCTGCCACAGGATAGTACTTCAAATACCTGAGAACCGCTATCATGTCTTTAAATATTTCTAGTTCCTTCAAATGACACTCATGTAACATGGCCTCAAGGCCCTTCAGATGCTTAGAACAGAACACAATACTTTAGATGTGCCACCTGACCAGAGTACCATGGAACCTCATCTCTTCATTCTTGGAAACACACTTCTCAATGCATGGGATGGTCACATTAGCTCTTTTTTGATTTGTTGTTCTGTCATGTCTGACTCTTTCTGACCCCATTTGGGGTTTTCTTGGCAGACGTAATGGAATGGTTTGCCATTTCCTTCTTCAGCTCATTTTACTGAGGCAAATAGGGTAAAGTGACTTACCTAGGGTCAAACAGCTAGGAAGTATTTGAGGTTGGATTTGAACTCATGATGAGTCTTCCTGACTCCAGGCCTGGCTCTCTATCCACTTCACCATCTAGCTGCCCATTTTTTGGCTGTCACATCACAATGCTGACTCATATTAAGCTTTCAAACCACTAAAACTCTCAGAACTTTTTCAAACAAATTTCTAAGGCTGCCCCATAGTGCATTTGTGAAATTGTTTTTTTGGACTCAAGGGTAAAACTTTATATTTGTTCCTACTGAGTTGTACAGTATTCAGTTTAGCCCAATGAAAGCTGTCAAGGACCTTCTCAGAGCCTGACTCATTCAATGAAATAACCATCTCTCCCAGTTATATGTCATCAGCAAATTTAATAAGCATACCATGTACACCTTGATTCAAGTCACTGATAAAAACTGCAGTAGACATAGAGCTAAAAAAATGGCAGTCTAGTGAACAATGGGTGAGAGAAGTATGTTCTAGTGGGTTTAGGGAAAGGATGACAGTGATACAGTAATAAGGCATGAGGAGCCCATGTTGGAGCACAACCTTCAACTCCTCGGATGATACTTAATGAAGCAAAGATAGCTAGATGCCCCCTTTTCAAACACAATCTGTTCTCCTTTCTTCCCATTACCATTACTCTTATAAAAGTAATGGGCGTTATGTATGGTTGATCTCAGGAAAATTTGAGTCTCTTTTCCATGGTTTTCTCTTGGGCTTCCCACTAATGCAGAGGTAGAAAAATGTGTCAAGAAAGCAGTTTTTATTTTCACAAAATTCTCCTGGAGCCTACTCAACAGCCTGGCTCTTGAGCAGCCTGTCAATCACTTGCTTCTGTTTTGGTAAACCACATCAAAGTCCTATTCTAATGTCATATTGGGATTTGGAGGTGACTCTGGGCTCTCAAAGCATTGCCAGCACAAAGAATCCAGGTCCAACAATAGACTGCATAACTATTATTTCAGAACCAGACTAGGTAAAAGCCTAATCGTCAGAAGCATGGCCACCAGGTGATGGATTTTATTGGCCACAGAAGCCTACTAAGGCAGTTATAGATTACAATCTACATCCTGAAAGTATTAAATATTAAAGCAGGTGAATTTCACTAACTTTGGACTGGTCTATTCCTTAAAGTGGATAGAAGACTATGGTAATTGTAATAGCTAACCTTTATAAAGTTCTTCAAAGTTTGCAAAGCAAGATTTTTATATATATTATCTCCTTTCATCCTTATAGCAATCCTGCAAATAAGGTGCTATTACTACTATTCCCATTTTACAGATGATGAAACTGAGGCTAAGAAACACTAAGTGACTTGCCAATGTTCTAACAGCAAGTAACCATCTGAGCCAAGATTCAAACTTAAATTTTTCCCAAGTACAACACTCTATCCACTATACCATCTACCTCTCCAGATGGGGTAGTATTTCTATCAGTAAGGGTGGAGTGGAATTGGTATGAATAGGAGACTGACCAGGAGCTAAACTCTGAGCCAAGAGGTTCAGATTGTTGTTGTACAAAATTAATGGGGATCAGGTATAGGGAAAAGGAGAGCTTGATCTGCAACTCCCAAGGTTAACCCATCATTTTGAACTATAACTTCAGACTATAAGGTGGAAAGCGCTGGCAACATCAGTGCCATTTGTCCAGATGTTGCCAGGAATAGGGGTGGCAAGAATAGCATCAGCAAAAGAGTTGATTTTTAGGAGAGGAAAGGACTGAGTTGACAGATCTGCCTAGCATTCCACCAGCCTTAGAGTTGAATGGCCATATTCTTTGATATTTTTACAATGAATTGGATGTTTCCAGTCAGAATCTAATCAGTGCTATGTCTACAATGCTTCCTTTTCCTAGTGTTTAAGTAATACCAAGATATTGCTAATCATTTTATCTAACTAATTAAAAGTTTAGAGGTTGACTATAAGCAACAAAAATAAATTTAAAAGTCTGCTCACAGCCCCAAGTAACTGTGCACAATCAGGCTTTATGTAAAGGTTTGAAAGTCAGTAACTTTTTTTTTAATGTGAAGGTAACTAAAACTCTGAAAGTGAAAATGGTTGCTTACTTTGGAGGAGATCAAACTTTAAGCAGGACAGAGAGACAGAGTACAGTAGAAAACAGGTCTGGATCACCAAAATCACTTCCATAAATGAAGACTACTGTATGTCATTTTCTCTAATGCTACTCCTCTTCCAGCCCTTGAACGAAAAACTATTTCCACTCTTAGACGCTTTGAAAGCTGATCTAGGATAAACTGTGGCTGAAGCACTTAAGAGAATTTCATTCTCAGATAAAGGTTAAATATTTCCCAATTGAGGATAGGATTATCCAACAGAAAGGGAATAAAAACATTTTTAAAATGCACTTTCCTCTCATTTTACATTACTGGGGGCGGGGAGAGAGGAGAGGAAAGCAGGTATCTGAATGGACGCAAGAATAACTTCTTTAAGTTTGTTTGAATAGAAGGTTCTCTAGAACGGACATGACCTCTGGAAGATTCTTCACTAGTTTGACCGTCTATTCTCTGGTAGCCAGTGTTATTTACAAGTCACCCCTGAGTAGATCATGTACCTACATACCCGGAGGGATCTAAACTCTGTTTAATTAGTACTTTAAGTGAAAAAAAATTTTTTTTTAACCTATGCCCAATGCTTCTCCAAAACCCCAAGCTATGTCCCTGCTAACCGTCTACAAAACTAAAAAAATTAAAAACTCAACCTTAACAGAGACCCTACCCCAACATTAAGGTTGGGCAGGGTTGGGGGGTGGGGGTGGGGGGAAGTGACTGCGGCCAAAGGAAGGGAACAGAGGTTACGGAGAAGACGGTCTCCTCGAGCAGGACACACACCGCGGGAGCGGAGCGGAGCCCCGCTGCTCTGCAGCACGGGTGGGTCGGCTGCGCTCCCAAGTGCGGATGGGCGCTGCAGCTCCATCCCTGCCTCTGCTCGCACTGCGCCGAGCGCATCTTCCGCAGGGGTGGGCGCTCTGGACCACTCGGGCTACCGGGGAAAGGGTGACAGCATCACTCAGAGAAGCATCAGCTCGCGAAGAAGACACTGGAGGAGGGAGGTGCGGAGAGCGGGAGAGAGACGGGAGCATCCCTAGGCGGCCCGGGGCCAACACAAACCCAAATGGTTAAACGCTGCCCCCGAAGCTTTGATCGCTGCCAATCCCACCCCACCCGCGTGAATGCCGCCGGCAAGCACCGCGTTCCCTGCTCCGTACCTCGTCTCTTTGCCCTCACGATGCCTTTCTTCTGCAGCACGAAAGTGGATCCGTTCACCAGGCTGGAAACTACCGCCACGCTCAAGCCGAGGGACACGGCGGCGGGGCTGGGGCTGTGCGCCCCTTCCCCGGCCGCTGCGGCTGCAGTCATCATCCTCCTCCCCCAGCAGAGCCCGAGCTTCCTCCCTACTTGCTCCCGAGAGCTGCCCGGGCTCCCGCGCCTGCGCACTCCGCTGGGATCACGTAAGAGCCTGTATGGCTCAATTTTGCTTTTGCTCCGGGTTTTAGCAGCGACTGCGAGGGGAGGGAATTAAGCAGGAAGAAAAGCAAAACTTTGGGTTCAATGCAAGGGTAGAAAAGGGAGGGGATGAGGGTAGCAAAAAGAGAAAGTCGCGCTACACCTGTTTTGTATTTTTCCAGGATGCAAGTAATATCCACTAATTAATATTTATGGGATGTAAAAAAATAAAATAATAATAGCTAGCATTTATAGAGCGCTCTTAAAGATTTACAAAGTGCTGTACCTAATTATTTCTTCCGATCCTCATAATAGCCCTGGGAGGTAGGTGCTATTATTATCCCCATTTTACAGATGAGGAAACTGAGGCTAAGATAGGTTAAATGAGGTCCAAGGTTACAGCTAATAAATGAGAGGCAGAATTTAGATCTTCCTGACTCCAAGTTCAGCACTTGTCACTTCTCGTTTACAATCTAAAGAAAAAAGAAGATAGGTAAACGAGAACCAATGTCGTAAATACCAGATTTTAGTGGAGAGAGTTTAGTGTTTTGTTTCCTCTAATAGAACTTAGGTTGAAGCCAAGCTTTAGGGAAATGTTCAGAAAAAATGTGGAAATTAATATGTGTTTTTGAAGAATGAGGGAGTTGTAATTTGGCTTACCCAGATAGGAAAACTTTTCCAGGGGCGGAGAAAAGATGACTCATATTTGCATAGCGCTTTAAATGCTTTGTCTCCTCAGGAGAAAGTGAGGTTGATGACTCTGCACAGCCCTTCCTCAGTTAAATCCAATTCACTTGCATGTTATAGCATCACCCCCCTCATGTCACGGTCAACAAAGGACAAACAACAATCAAAGATATTTCAAGATAGGTAGTAAAATTGTTATTATCCCTAGTTCACAAATGAAGAAACTGAGACTCATGACCTTCCCATGGTCATACAGTGAGGAAGTGTGAGGTTGGAATCAGAATTCAGTAGTGTAACCATAAATTCAGAGCTCTTGCCACCTGAACTCCAGTGGCTGGATTATTATGAATGACAGGGCACAGAAGAGTAGATGCAGAAGTACTTTCTTTTTGGAAGAAAAGGTAAGAGATTAAGTGGAAAAGTGACAGGGACAATTTCTGAAGCCTAGAATGAAGAGTTTAAGTGGAATACAGATGATAATAGAGAAGCCATTGGATAATTCTAAAAAGTAGTATGACTTAATTCCCCAAGAAAGATCATTTTGGCAGTGATGTTGCAGACTAATTGGGAGGTCAGGAAAGAGAATGACCAATTAGGACAAAGCTATGCTATGCCTAATTAAAGTATCTTTCTGTTACTGTTTTTAAGTATCACAAATGAAATGATTGAGGCAGTAGAAAGGACTTGATTAGGACCCGATAACTGTGAAGTCCAAATTAACAAGCATCCTGTACTAAGAGTTGGGGTTAAGGTAAAAGACAGTCCCTGCTTTCAAGAAGCTTAAAATCTAGTGGGGAAAGATAACATACAAATAATTATGTACAAACAAGATATATGCAGGATTTACTGGAGATGGTCACAGATGGGAGGTACTGCTATTAAGGGAGAACTAGCAAAGGCTTCTTGCAGAATTGGGATTTTAGCAATAAATTTTAGCAATTTTAGCAATTTGAAGGAAGCCAGGGGAGCCAGGAGTCAGAGGCAAGAAGGAAGAGCATTCCAAGCATGGAGGACAATCAGTGAAAGTACTTGGGAGTTGGGAGAGGGAGGGTCTTATGTGAGGAATAATAAGGAGGCCAGTGTCACTGGGTCACAAAGTTAAAGGGAGGAAGGTGTAAGAAGCTGGAAGGGCAGAAAGAGGCCAAGTTTTGAAGTGCTTTTAAAGAGGTTTTTATATTTGTTCCTGGAGCCCACAGGGAGCCACTTTGAATGAGGAATGACATGGTTAGACTGAAGTTCAACCATTGGAAACCCAGAGTTGACATATGTAAATAAGAGAGCTTGTTTTGCATGGTAGTTAATAAACAAATAGGGAGGTCTTATTTGCTGTGATGTGAAGAGCCCTATAAGATTTTAAATTGTTTATTGTTGTTGTTTCATTTTCAGTTATGTGGAGTATTCAACTCCTCGTGACCTCTTTTAGGGTTTTCTTGGCAAAGATACTGGAGTGGTTTGTCATTTCCTTCTCCAGCACATTTTACAGATGAAGAACTGAGTCAAACAGGGTTAAGTGATTTGCCCAGGGTCACAGCTAAGAAATGTTTGAGGTCAGATCTGAACTCAGGAAGATGAATCTATTCACTGGGCCACCTAGCTGCCCAAATTATTGGGTTGAAGTGATTAGCCTCTGAGGTCCTCTCTGATCCATTCCCATGTCACCAAGTGCTAGAGATTCTGGAGATATTATTCACGTGGATAATGTATTGAGTTGTAAATTATGCCAATGTTTACCTTATACCTTCTGCTACTTTTATGCTATATAGATTTTATGGATTTGTAATCTTATCAATGTAAATACTTCTTCGAACAGTGCAGATAACAACCTATCCATTCCTCTTTCCCTAGTGGTTAACTAGAATATGTAAATGTTATAAGAACAGCTTTTCTGATCACCCTATGAAACAAGTTTGCTTGGAATAGTCAAATATTCAGTTTGGCCAATGGGGAGATCTCACTCAAACGTTCTCCTCCCTCCAACAGTCCAGGGAACTCACTCAACTGATTAACCAGCATTACCCTAATAAGCATATTTTACAAGCACTGTTTAAACTGTGTCAAGTGGGAAAAGTATAAAGTTTGAAAGGACCTACTGGATTTATCATGACATACAGGAAAACTATAGGAGTTCATTCACCTCTATAACATGCCAAGGAACACTGGTTAGAATATAGTCACTGACCTGTATTGTGGCTGGCCTTACAATTAAACTGATCTGAAAGTGATTATGTCTTCAGAGACAGGTGAACTCCTGGAATCTTAGACAGCTAGTATTAGCTGAGGACTGTCTGAAAGAGGCCACTGGCTCAAACACAAGACTACTTACCTTACAATGCTACCTGATAAATATCCTTCTAACTTCATGTGGGCAATATTCTTATTTTTTTAAGCTACCTTTGTCTATACCTGTCCATCAACAATAGGCAACTGTATATATTTGTACACAAAAAAATATACATACATATATGATATTATATATATATATGTATGTATGTATAGTGTGAGGTACCTTTGATCAAAAGACTTTCCCCCCCACCATCATTGATAAAATTATAAAAGGTAAGGAGCACAGTTAACCGAAACAATAAAGTGTTAATTCAACAAAATGCGAAGAAGTGTCTATGCTTTGTAAGATACGGAGATCTTTGGTCAAATCTGATGGAATTAAAGGGAGATTTGCCGTTGACCACAGTCCTGGTGGCCCTTTAAAAAAGTGATACATGCACTCTCTTGCAAGGTTTCTCAACTTTTTAAAAAATTTGTCTTGTACCCCTTTGGTAGTCTGGTGAATCCTATGAACCTCTTCTCAGAAAGTTTTAAAATGCCTCAACTAAAATACATACCATTACAAAGGAAACTAATTATATTGACATCTAATTATGGAAATTTTTAAAAAATTTCACAGACTCTAAGTTAAGAACCCCTGTAAATAATCTAGGCAGGAAATAGTTCTGAGAAATTTGAGCTGTAGTTGTAGAAAAGTGAGTCATCTCTGGCCATCCAGAGCTGAAATTCAGAGAGGAACAAGCCCAGGGACCTCAGCTAAGAGACCTGCTCAGCAGAGATGCTGTCCCCAGAGGGAGCAGCATGAGGGCCTCATCAGAAGGGAAGGACAATCCAGGCTTTGCAGTGCCAGAGGCATGAGTTACCTGGGCCATGGATACTCTATGTATGTATTTCTCTATTAGAACATTTTATTTGTATGACTTCTCTTTCCACTGATACTGTGTGTAGTAAAACTAGAATATACCCCAGGTTTATGGAGGAAGCACACCAGTGGGGGCTCATGACCTATTGTTTTAAGAGTTCAGCTATACAGAGTACCTTTAATCTGGGGATAATTGCCCTCCTAGGAACCTAATCTTGTAATTTTATTTAGGATAATAGTCTTCATAAGGTTGATACACACATGCATATACATATATGTGTATGTATACTAACATACACACATAAATGTGTATATGTATGTATGTATGTGTGTATGATGAAGAATGGCCCATGTCCAGAGGACAAATCCACACATGGGAGAGCTGTGAGCCTGCTCTCAGGGGAGTTATGATGTGTGATAGGCATGCCTTAGAAGGATATTAAAGTATGTGTAGACAATCTGTAACTATTCCAGTTAGCTACGTGACGAATAGTTGTCTGGTTGTCTATAGAAGCATTAAGAAAGGACTAGGGATAGAAGCCTCCGACATTTTCTCTTCAGCGGCCCTCTTGGTGAATCTCTTGGATGCCTTTGCTGATGGCATTTGGTGAAAAACAATGTGGTTAGGGAAGTGGCCTTGGGCTGTCTCTGTGAGGGCCAAAAATTGGCGCTGTGAAATGGGCCTCTCTGTTTGTTCTTTTCCATTCTAAGTGAAGAGGTTAAAAGGCTCTGATCTTTGAGGTTTCAAATGGTTATGAGAATGAGATTCTGATCTCTCAGCATCACAGTATCCATGTGTTGTAGCCAATTCAGATGCATAGATGCCTCATGGAGAAGGAGTGATCTTCAAGACCTACTTTGGTTTTAGTTCAAACAAGGGCTCTGCTGGCAATAATGCTTACTTTGAACAGAAACTTAGTAGGACCAGTGTTAAATAGAAACTGAGCTAAGTTTGAGCCAATTCTCCTCCAGAGACTGAAGTAGGAGACAGTAAAGTGTACCCCCTAAGATGCTGGGGCCAGCTTTGTTTTTGTTATTGTTACTGCCATATCTTTGAAGTAAATATTTCTTTACAAAATCTAAT